TGAAACTGTACAAACTCATAAAACAAAAACAATGGAAAATGCATTTTTTATGAAAATCTTGTGAAATCTTAGAATACAGTGGCGGACTGGCCAGGGTGCCAGTTTGCTTGATGGAAAGTGGGCCCCCTATATCAAATAAAGATGCAATAAAGAAACAAACATGGACAACTGTTTTAGTAATAAAAGAAATAAGTACTTTATAAAGTCATCTTCATACTATCAATTACTCAAATTCAATTTAAGAGGACATTTTCAAAGCTAAAGATCATAAAGACAAGGTAAAGAAATTTGCCCTCTGAGGGAAATTTACATGTTGTTATCCATTGAAAAGGAATTGTTAGATGAATTGGATGCTGAAACTATTGGCAGATTCTCACAATCATCTAAAGAACACAAATGATTGTTCTTAATATAGTAAACTGCAGGCAATGCTCTCTTGTGCTTTTGAACTATCTGTTAATATGTAAATTGCACAGTAAACTATTTAAAAAGATTAACCAGTTACTTCAAATTAAAAAAAAAAATTAATAAAAAAATAAACATTCTGTATTTACATTTGGTATCTACTGCCAGTAATATGTACAGTAACTGTACACTGTAATTACTAAAAAAAAACATTTTTTTTAAAACAAAAATTTTAATTTACCTTTTTTCTGCGTGAATTTTTGAAAATTTTATTTATTTGTTATTAAAATTAAATGATAGCATTGTAGTTGTAAGTGGGCCCTCTGTCTTCTGACAAACAAGAATTTTAGACCCAGTCTGCCACTGTTGGAATATTTTATTTTTTGAAAGAAATAACCTATATTCTAATCCATTGCCATTGTTTTATCACTAATATTATAACAGTGTTACATTAAAACTTACCAATTCTTTTTTCTGCTTCACGATCTTGCTCTGAATGTAAATATTAAAAGTCAATATAACAGGAAATCTGTATGTATAGTCTTAGTAATAATATGTAATCCATAATTTAATAATACCTCTGTTCATAGTCGTTTTTACATTTTATGTATAAAATTTGTATACAAATGTAAGAATTATTATAAGTGGACAGAGGAATCAGCAAAGTATTAATTTTCTATCATAAAGCAAAATGGTTTTCTTATAGAAAAGTTATAGTTATATAAGATAATTTCACTATAATTATAATTTCAGTAAAGTATATGTGTACAATGTAACACACTCAACAATGAAATCATATTGACCTACTGATGACAGATATTTATGCAAGCTTCATTATTTAATGAATTATATTATTTAATAATTCAGCACTTCAAATTTTATAAAATCCTTTCATTTCTAAAATTATATAAAATGGTATTAAAAACTTAATTCAAGATTAAATATCTCATCAGCAATTGTTGTAAATTTATCTGTACAGTAGTTAATTTTTTTTAATTTTAGAACTTCACACTCACCAAAAACAGCCTTGATCTGAACATCTTGGTCTGGAGAATGATAATACATATTTATATTATACAATGTACACTGATTTATGTTTATATTATATGTTACATCAATTTATCATTGGTATTATACAATGTACACCGACTTATCATTTATATTATACACTGTAATCCAATTTATCATTTTATATTTTACCCTGAACACCAATTCCTCATTTATACTGTACACTGATTTATTACTATTTATATTATACACTGTACACTGATTTATCATTTATATTATACACTGTACACTGATATTTTATTAATATTATACTCTGTACACCAAACTATCATTTATATTATACATTGTATACCGATTTATCATATATATTATATATACACTGTACACTGGTTAATCATTTTTATTATACACTATACACTGATTTATATTATACACTGTACATTTATTTATCGAGATTTAAATTGCTAAATGATCAAATTTAAATATACTTCATTTTCATACTTCTTAATCATCTCTTAAGACTTCTAAGCAAAAATAAAGTATGGATTCACTCATTTTTAAATGAAGAATCATGTTACTTTAATGTATAAGACAGAGATAAGGAAAAGGAAAAAACCTTAAGGATGAGACATTTAACAAATTCAGAAATCAGTTTTTAAAACTATTGAAAGAAAAATATGCCCTCAATTGCTAATGCAAAAATACCATCATAAAAATAATAGCTTCAATGAAATTCGTAAATACAAGATTACCCTTACACTATCAATTAACCAATTAAACAGATCTTTTTCAATAATAATATTAAGCCATATATATTTCAACAACTAGAATTTTAGTCTTAAACATATAGATCTAAAATGCAGACACTCACCAATGAGAGTCTCCGCTTCCTGGCTTTGTTCTGCAGAGAACGAAGAAAAATTTGTCTGTGTACAATTATTTTTAATAATTTTCTAAATGTTCCAATTACTAGCTTAATTTTTTTATTAACATATTGATTAATATCTTACCAAATAAAAGACATTTTCCATTTAAACACATTTCTAGAGAGTATAAATTAATATTATGCATACTTATATGAAAAATCATGTTTACTCTAAAAATAATGTTTAAAGATACAAGAATAGTAAATTATGGCATTCCTGAAACTCTGAATTTATTTATTGTGACAAATAAAAACTTAACATTAACTATTAATTTTAATGTAAACTTACCAATTGTAGTTTCAATGTTGGTAATTTGCTCTGTAGAGAGGTAATAAATATTGTAAGTAAGTATTTCTGTCAAGTAAATCAGATTCTAAAAATTTTTTCATCAATCAAAATTTTATAATTTAATAAAGGAAATAAACATTTCAAAGTTGATTTTACCATATTTGTTTGTCACTAGCTCCAATTATATTAAACACACACATATATATATGTGTGTGTGTGTATATATATATATATATATATATATATATATATATATATATATATTATAATGATAATAAGAAGACGGAGACTTTAATTATCCATTTTGTTTATAATTTTATTTTATCCATGGAGCAGGTTGTCATTCTGATAAGATGAACATCTCGGTGTTCATGAAATAAAAATTATAAACGAAATGGATAATTAAAGTCTCCGTCTTCATATTATTATTATAATGCTCTGTAGTCTACATTGAGCTTCCCCTGGAATCCTCCTCTGAATTATCCCTTCCAGTCATAAACTGGTAAAATATATATATATATATATATATATATATATATATGGGGGAAATTGTATGATAAAGTGAAAAAAGTTTACATGTGACATGTTTCATCCTTAAGGACATCAGACGAAATCTGTTATGTTGGTATGACTACACATGTGCATGAATGAGGGGTGCTGGGGATTTTAGATTTTTTTTCCTAAATTTAAATAATTTTTTCCTAAATTTAAAAAAATTCTAAAAAGAATTTTTTATTTATTCTTTTCAGAATTTTTTTTTTTTTTTAATTCTAAAAAAATTTAAATTACCCAGCACCCCTCGTTCATGCACATGTGTAGTCAAACTAATATAACAAATTTAGTACAATTAAGTCCTGAATGATGAAACGTATCACAAGTAAACTTTTTCCACTTTGTCATACAATTTAACCAATATTGTTCTTGATATATAAAATATCATATATATGTGTGTGCGTGTGTGTGAGTGTATGTGTAAAAATTCAGATATAAATAAAGTATATCTGTAAAGACAATATAAATAACAGAGAAGACAAGAGGAAAACTTTATGCCAGCACATTTCATTCTTTGAGGAATTTGTTGTGATAAAGTTCCTCAAGGAACAAAATCTGTTGACATAAAATGTTTTCATCTACAGAGTCTGCCAAAAGATATATTCACACTTCAGGAAAGGAAAAATTTGCCTTTCATAGTTTTATCAAATTGCAATAATATTGTTTACTGTAGTACAATAATTTCTGTAGCATCAACAAGTCCTAAAGGATATTGTGTATTGCAAAAAACCAACTACATTAGAAGCCCTTAGACAAGAAATTGAAAATGCATGTGCAACAATCTCATTGGACACTTTGGCCAATGTAGCCTAAGCAGTTGTTTGCTGTACTAATAAATGACTGGAAGCTAAAAGGCCTATTTTGTCATTGTAGTGTCCAAAGGTAATTTGTATTAATCTTGTGATGTCTGAATGGATTCGTTATTATATCTTTTCTGAAGTGTATATACACTTTTTGGCAGACTATATATATATGTGTGTGTGATATAAATAAAAATATATCTGTAAAGACAATATAACTAAAAGACAAGAGGAAAACTTTTTATGCCAACACATTCCATTTTTGAGGAACTTGTCCTGATAGTCTCTCAAGGAACAAAACATGTTGGCATGAGTTTTCCTTTTTTCTTGTGTATGTATATATATATATATATATATATGTGTGTGTATGTGTGGCTTAAATAAAATTAGATATAGTAATATAAAATAAATTAGTTTATGATCTTGAAGTCATTTGCAAATAGATGAATTTTAATTCAAAAAATAGTATTTCAGTATAAAAAAAAAGGTTTTTGAAATAAGGATATTTTCTAAAATTTCATATGTTGTCTTAGTTCACTCACCAGTCATAGTTCTTAGTCCATATTCTTGTTCTGAAGAAAATGTAAGATATACCATCAATTTCAGATTACCAATGTGATTCAAAAGAATAATAGATTTATGCATCAACTAAGAAAGAATAATAGAATTATGCATCAACTAATAAGCAAGACCACTCAACTAACTCATTGTTTAATAAAATTCTAAAATGAATTTCAGAATTTCTAAAGTATTTATTCCTACTTCATTTGTTGCTAGACATGATAACTAATTTTTATGGCTTACCAACCTTTTGCAGGTTACTTAAAGCCAGAAAATATTTTTAGATTGTAAGAATTTTGGGAGGATAATAATGATTTACTGATATAAATTCTAGTATTTAACCTATATCTGGAGAAGAAGAGGTGGATTCATGCCTTTCTCAAACCATACTGGAATTGGAATTCAGCTCTCCAATTTCCAATTCCAAGTCATTATCTATCACACCACCTGCATATTCAAGCTTACAACACCTGGTATTCCCAAGCAGTAATCCATGGAGGTACTGACCAGGCTCAAGACTGCTTAACTGATCATATGAAAACTGGTGTTTCAATGTGATATGGCCATAAGCCCATGGCATAAATGAATATAGCACCAATTTTCTAAAATTCTAACAATAGTTACTTTATATTTAAACCTTTCCAGTTCATGTTTTATAAATCTTCATATTGATAATCACCAAATAAAACTTGTTCCAAACATTTCTTCCATTAACTGCATTATTGCTAAATGATTAGTTATTTAATAGACCAAAAACCAACCTAATATAACAATACAATGCAAGAAGTGATCATAAACAAGAAAAGGAAAACACTCTTTGAATTCTGCACTAAACAATATATATATATATATATATATATATATATATAAGATTTAAGAAACAGCAGATATTTTAATATATAGTGTTCAATATTAAAAAAAGAATAATAGTAATTGAAAGTGTGTGTGTAAAAGAACATTAAATTTATAAATACATACATGTAAAAAACATGTGAAAAAAAGAGTGAAAAAGCAGATTGAAAAAGATACAAGTGGGAAAAAAATTGGAAATACCATTTAAAACCACAACCCCTGAAAACTGGAAATTTTACCAAGAAACATCGATGTCAGGATAAAATTGATATAGTAATTTTTTCATATAATATTATATATATATATATATATATACATATATAATCAAACAATTCCTTTTACCTCATATGGAGAATAGGCTATTTTGTATGCCAAATTGAAAAAGGTTTTCTCGTGATATGTTTCAATGAAGTCCTAAAGGACAAAACACATCACAAGAAAACATTTTTCACTTTGTCATACATTTTTCCCCAATATATATATATATATATATATATATATACACACACACAATTATCATTTTATATATTTTCACTATTTACATGTGGACTATTGCCCTGATCTTTACTTTATCACATCTTAGCTGGTGTGCCCTCTGACCTTCATTAGGTGTATATTAAGACCAGGTAAACTAGTCTACCCTCATAGATTAAATAAATATGTTCAGTTTAGAATTCTCTGTAGGTTACCTGAATCAATATACACCTGATGAAGGCCAGAGGTCGTAACAGCTGAAATATTGTTATATGGTAAAGACAATAGTCCAAATAAATAATAACTCTTCATGTCAGAAATTCTGACATAAATTATACTGTAATTGCTTTTATATATATATATATATATATATATATATATATCAAACATGTTAGATACATATATGAAATAACAAAACATAACATGTACTAACAACAAGAAAAAAAAGAATATCAACAAAAGATACAAATGAAATAATGCAGTGCAGTATTGCAATTAGTAATTTGAAGAATGTTTTTTCTCAACTATATTGTAAACCATGGATGATTATGTAGCTGATGAAATATGTTTATCAATTGGAATATGGAATCAATCATTCAACTAGAACTTCTTGATTGTGGAACTCTTTGCCAGTCAACTTTAATCCTCCAAAATTTTAAATGCAATGTCAATTGTTATTTTTTGTTTTCTTAATTCCTGTTCTTTTATTATTCTCTCTCCTTAATAATGTTTTCTTTTTCTATTAGTCTTTCACATTCAGTAAACCCTCATATCTTAGTGGCTTTACTGCCTTACTTGGGGTGAAATGACTAAAAAAGAAAATCAAAGATTTTGGTTTAAATTTATATGCAATTTATAACAATTACATTTAAGAAAGTAATTTAGTGAAAACTTCCAGAGTTCAAGAGAAAATATATCTAAAATACTGAGAAATTATTTTAGAACTGATATGAATTACTATACATTTATAGTTATTTAAAGACAACAAAGCCCTGATCCAATTATATAAATATCAATTAAACCACAATGTCTGGATAGATTAATCTAAATACTGTGATAACAGAAAAAAAAAACAATATAAGAATATCTATAGATACAGTAATTACTTAACCAAGAAAATTCAATTTAACAATCTCTTGAGCTCAGGACATGAACAGAAGAGAAAAATATGAGGAAAACTGATGAGACAACATAACAAATGTTTAGTAAAATGCAGAAAAGCGTTCTTTAATTTTAGCGCCAAACAATTTATGTGCATTGATTGCATGTATAAGAAATAAAGCTGGAGTAACAGGTGCGCGTTATTGCATTTTGTTTTTGGCCATAAACATTATAATTGTAATATTTCAAAAGAGCTTATGGGAATTAAAAAAAATTTTTTTCAGAATGTTAGATAAAAGTTATTAGTATAGAGTGTGTAATATTTATACTATTTTTAAAATGTCTTTCAAGAAGCTTAAACATATTTTACATAAACTTAACATATTTGTAACAATTCTTTGACATGACCAAATTATGGAACACAGAATATTGCAGAATATACAACAGAATAAAAATTTTTACAAATTCATCAATATAAATAATATTTCATTTTGATAGTAAATCCTACTAGCCACTAATAGTTTACAAACTTTTTATACTACATAAAGTGCCTGACCAGTTTTTGACATGAAAAACAAAACTGATCTCTGACTTTATGACTACAAAATACATCAGTGTTAAAAATGAACATATCTTTAAAAAAATTGCTAATGATACCTCATCTCAAGAATATTGAAATATAGAAGTGAGGAATCTAGCTGAAGAAAACAAGTGGCTAGTAAGAATATGTACATTTTCTAAGTCTAGTACATCTGCTGTAATAAATATATTTTAAATAAAAAAAATAGTTATTATTTACATTTGGACTATCGTCCTCATCTTTGTTGTTGTTATCAGAACATTTTGGCTGTTGTGCCCTCCAGCCTTTATCAGATATATATATATATATATATATATATATATATATATATATATATATATATATATATATATCTCCTCTCTCCTCTTTCCTCTCCAAAAATTTATAAAACCTTATATTGAAACTTTCTTCCTCTTTTAATATTAAAACTTTCTTTTTTTTCCCTCCCTTTTCCTTACATCTGGATAAATTGACTCCATTTATTAACAAAACACTAGTCTGAAGAGATGAATGTAAAAAAATTCATGAAATAAATTATAACCGGATGGATTTTTAAGGATTCTGTACTTATATATGTGCAGATATGGAGAAAAATAGGAAAGAACACATTAGGTAAATAATCAGGAATTCTTTAGTATTTTTGTTTTTATTTTAAAAAAACAGTACTCAATATATATATATATATATATATATATATATATATATATATATATATATATATATGCATGCATGCATGTGTGTATATATATATATATATATATATATATATATATATATATATATATAGAGAGAGAGAGAGAGAGAGAGAGAGAGAGATCCAGGTAACCTACAGGATTTCTACCCATGTCTAGGGATATTTCACCTAGTTCTTATTTTTAGTACTGCTCACCCTATTTCCACTGAGTCCAATTACACACTTCCCATCCCAGGGATTGAACTTGAACCCAGTGGAAACAGTATGAGCAGTATTAAAAATAAGAACTAAACTAGATATTCCTAGACATGGATAGAGAAATGAGAGCAGTCTAAACTGTAGATTAAATAAAAGTTCAGTTCAGAATTCCATGTAGATTACTCAGATACAACTGATTACAGCACAACAGCCAAAATGTTATGATAACAATAATAAAGGTGAGGATAATAATAATAATCTGAATGTAAATAGTTTAAACTATGATAAATCCTCATCCCAGAAATTCAGATAAAAAAAAAAGTTACCAAAGTATATGCTGTGTTCATTTTAATAAACCTGTCTTCAAATAGTTATGTCTCTGATAAATTGCTAAATTTTTATATTGGTGAACTAGAACACCAAATTTAAAAAGAACACAGCATTTGGCAACATTTAAGATGCATACTTGTATATTGTTGAAGCAAGTACATTGTATTTCTGTGATGGCAGTTTGACAAGCATCTAGTGAAGCAATAAGAAAAAGCATTAGGCAGTTATTAAATGCCATTTTTTTCTTCAATAGCAAGCAAATCCTTGTAATGCTTTGAAGAAATGTGGTGCTATTAAGAAAACTGGAGATAATTCTCCATGATTAGGCAAGGCATTGAAACACTCACCAAAAGAAGACTCTTCTGTGATAACTTGTTCTGCGGGTATAACAAATGTCAGCATCAACCACTTGGCTAAAACATTCAACATTTCTACGGATATAATTATGATTATTTCTTTTATTTCTTTATATGCAATTCGAAATTTTATTGATATTAAAACAAATTTAACTTTGACAAGAAATCTATTATTAGTAGCTTTCCTGAAGTATTAAAATATTTGTTAATCTTTGAAGGAAATAGATTCTTTTTTTTTTTTATCAGGGTATTACAGAAGTACCTCCCACATAATATTAAGACATGAGCTAGACGAATACAACATTACCACTAATGTCTTACCATTATGTGGGAGGTATTTCTGCTGCACCTTGTATAAATAAAATATAGCTTATAATAATTGCTTCATAATAAATATAATTAAATCAGCTTCTAAAGTTAGCTGTATTTTAGAATTATGATCCTAAGAGTTGTATTATTCATTTTAAAAACTCACCAGGTTTTTTCTTTTTTTCAGTAGCTCGTTCTGTGAATATGTAATAGATACAGTAATTAAATTCTAATGATCAGTGATAACTACCAACCATAACAGCAAATAAAATAATTAACTAAAAATTAGTAATTCACTTCTTGATATTTTATTGTAAATTATACATAAAATCAATTAAACTGAAAAAGTTTTCAGAACTGGAAAAAGATCTTTTTTATGATAGCTTATTGGTTGGTTAAATATTTTACCACAGAGTTACATGAAATTATCAAGTACATTATGATTTTTGTTTGGATTATATATAATCCAAACAGCATGTTATTTCAAAGAGAGTCTTCATTTTTTTATTGTTTACCTAGTAAACTAATCAAGTTATTCAAAACAACATTTTTTTAGAATGTAAATTTGTGTCTGCCTTGAAAGAAAATGTAACTACAAGCAATTGGAAACTCACCTATTATGATCTTCTCTTCAGCTCGGTCTGTGAAGAGTTAATAAACACTTTTATCAATAA